ATCGTTGGCCCGCGAATGTCGTGTGTGGGTTTACAGAGATAGCCCCATGGGCAAGTTGAGTCACTTTATCCTTCTAACAGAGCACAAGAGGGTGGTATCGAGACTTACTATGCAATTGAACCAGGATACATCAACATCTATGTGCTTTTCATGTTGTAGCCGATGAACATGACCGTCAAATCGAAGCGCATCATTACTGCACCTGTGTCTCCTGTGACTTCCATCAATGCATCATATATGACAGTGACAAACCAAATGCGCGATTGATTGGCAAGTCTTCTTTCTGAAGAACTAGAGACCCAAGCTCTAACATCGATCTCTCTTGACCATATTAGGAATCGAATATTTAATCTCAGAGCAAAAGTTTAATTCGCTTCCAGAGGAAGAGAAAGTATATTGGCACAGCCATAAATACGAAGTCGAGAGTGGAGTCTTGATGCAGATGGTCCGTTTTCCAGAATTCCCAAAGACCGACGACCTGAAATCCCTAACAAAAGACAGAATCTCATACAAGATTTCTCCCTTAGCATGTCGCTGGACGAGAAGGGACTGTGCCCGAGGAAGAAGAGAGAGGAATGATGATGGCAGTTCATCAAACGTTTGGAAAAGTCATCCATACTTGGAATGTAGATCGTCATCCTGATCTACCCTTAGGTCCTCCAAGCTTGATGATGTCCTACACAAAGCCGTGAGTTGAGCTTACGATTTCAAAATTTGATCCGGAAAGGCTAATCTGATGAACGAGTTGGTTCTCTTATAGTGAAATGGTCAATTGGGAACAGGTCAAAAAAAGAGACGAAGAACAGGGAGTGGACACGGCCGACCGCAGTAAAATTGTCAGTCAATTCATCTCATCTTGGGAGTCTGATCTAAGTTTGCTCAAGATAAGAGACTGAAAATGAGATTTCTGGCTTTAGCGCGCTGGTTACCTTCCACTTGATTATGCCAAGAATCAAAACGCAGATAAATGGATGGAAACTGGTAAACAAGTCCAATTCGAATCAATCGAAAGACCATTGAAAGGGGGTTTGGACAAGTAGTTTCCATTTTTTTGCCGAAAATACCACAAGTTCTGCACGAGACGATGGAGA